AGAGTGCAAGAGCGTGTATGTGAGAGTGCAAGAGCGTGTATGTGAGAGTGCAAGAGCGTGTATGTGAGAGTGCAAGAGCGTGTATGTGAGAGTGCAAGAGCGTGTATGTGAGAGTGCAAGAGCGTGTATGTGAGAGTGCAAGAGCGTGTATGTGAGAGTGCAAGAGCGTGTATGTGAGAGTGCAAGAGCGTGTGTGTGTGAGTGCGAGAGTGTGAATGCAAGGGCGTGTGTGTGAGAGTGAGAGTGCAAGAGCGTGTATGTGAGAGTGCAAGAGCGTGTGTGTGTGAGTGCAAGAGCATGTGTGAGTGAGGGCATGAGTGTGTGTGAGTGCGAGAGTGTGACTGCGAGTGCATGTGTGTGAGAGTGCAAGAGCGTGTGTGTGTGTGAGTGCAAGAGCATGTGTGAGTGAGGGCATGAGTGTGTGTGAGTGCGAGAGTGTGACTGCGAGTGCATGTGTGTGAGAGTGCAAGAGCATGTGTGTGAGTGCGTGCGAGTGTGAGGGCATGTGTGAGTGAGTGTGATCGCATGTGCGAGTGCATGTGAGTGTGTGAGAGTGCAAGAGCATGTGTGTGAGTGTGTGTGTGTGTGAGAGTGCAAGAGCGTGTGTGTGTGTGAGTGCAAGAGCATGTGTGTGAGTGTGTGAGAGGGCATGTGTGTGAGTGTGTGAGAGGGCATGTGTGTGAGAGTGCAAGAGTGTGTGTGTGTGAGTGCGTGTGTGAGAGTGTGAGGGCATGTGTGTGAGTGTGTGAGTGCAAGAGCATGTGTGTGAGTGCGAGAGTGTGGGAGTGCGAGTGCATGTGTGTGACTGCGTGTGTGTGAGTGTGTAGGTATAAATGGTTTATGAGGACACAAATGTGTATAATGACATGGGTACTACAATGTAAACATGGTTTATGAGGACACTTCCTGTGTCCCCGTGAAACAAAAGGCTTAAAAAACATACAAAACGGTGTTTTATGAAATAAAAAATTGCCAGCATTTTCCTGTGAGGGGTAGGTTTAGGGGTAGGGTTGGTGTAGGACGATAGAAAATACAGATTGTACAGTATAAAAACCATTATGCCTATGGAGAGTCCCCATAAACCACAAATGCAAGTATGTGTGTGTGTGAGAGAGAGTGTGTGTGTGTGTGTGTGTGTATCTCGGGATCAGGGCTCTGGAATCTTCTGCAATCTCTCTGATAGTGAAGGAATGTTGACGAGTCGGAAATGTCATCAGTAAAACAAGCACAACGCTCAACTAAGAAACAACCAGCGTTTTATTAACAAGCAGGGTTTCTGCAGGCTGTATGAAGGCACATTTAAGAACAAGTACAGAAAATGTAAGGAATAAATTGACGTCAGTATGATCTCTATGTAATGTAAATGTCTAGGGAGCACAGTGAGTTTTATTAGCATTTGAAAATACAACTTCCAACAGATCTACATTACTTTTTAATTCATTTTTATAAAATAAATCTCTGCTTTCAAACACTAGAAAATGGAAATGACTTTTACACACCGTTCTTCTTCACTATTTTTGGCATTTTTCCAGAGCAAATGTCTGAAGGATTCTTAAATCAAGATACGTTTACTTGAGAAGCGAATGTTTTATAAAAATCTGATATTGTTGTAGCTCCTTTAACTTTACTGATTTAATATGTTTATTTTTACTGTAAAAATGACTAAAATGAGACTAATGAGAATCATAATTGAGCATAAATATTGTTCATTAATTAATATTAATATTGAACATAAGTAAAATGCCCTGATTTATTACAATAATGTATATTTATTTGTATTTATTGATTGTTTAAAAAATAATCTTTACAGGAATTTGAATGTTTAAATCTCATTAAAATGTCACAATACAAAAACAAGTCATAAAACAAGCTTTATTTACTAAAATTGACTTTGCCGTTGCTCTAAAAAAATGATCTTATGATTAAAACAAGTACAAAAACCTGCTAATAGGCTAAAAAAAAATTAACTTCATTCAAAAGTAAAACACATTTTCCACACAGTACTGACATAAACTCAATTTTAATTTCTCAGACTTCATATGTCTTCATTTCGCATCTCCAGTAAATGTGTCTTGAGTTAAAGATGTTTAGATATCTGGACTGGAAAACAAGACAGAAATACTGATTTAGTTGTTTTTCCAGAGCATGCAACAGTTATTTAAGACTTTCTGCTCTGAATTAATACGTTTTAAGGCTTTAATACGTGGAAGGGTGAATTAAGACTTTTTAAGACCCGCAGAAACCCTGAAATCTAAACATGACTGATCTAGACTGAGCTGTGTTTGCATGAACCGGAGGCGTTTACGCAGCGTTCTCCGGGCAGGAGTGAGGGAAGACGTGTGGGTGAGCGAAGGCCGCGCTGAAGTCCAGCTCATCGGTGACGTGGCCCTTAAAGACGCGCAGGTTCCTCATGCAGCCGCGGAACGGCTCTCTGGAGCTCAGACAGTTCTGCTTCACGTCCGCTGCGAGAGAAACACAGAAACACTGAGAGTTACTTTTAAAAGTGATGCGTTACAATGTTGCGTTGCTCCCTAAAAAAGTAACTAATTATGTTACTTAGTTACTTTTTATGGACTAATGTGTAATGAGTAGTGTTTTTGAGTAAACACATGTTGATATTGAGTCTAGAGCTACAGTAAGATCATGTTCACACACAACGCTCTGCACTGACTCCTGATTGCTGTCACCGTGGCAACACCAGAGCTGTCACTCAACACACAGAAACAAAGTAACTCAGACTTCCTTCTAAATGAACAAGTAATGCGTTACTTTCCTAGTTACTTTAACAAAGTAATGTGATTACGTAACTCGTGTTAACACTGTCCACCATAACACCGTGTCCTAACTACACACGACGCACAAAATTTCTATTTTAGAAACGGTTTCTATTTCTGCGACGTCGCGGCTGGAGCAACAACATACAACAGCTCAGGTACTGATTATGTGCTTTATTCGAAGTTAAACGTGTCTAATGTGAGTTTGAATATCATATTGACATTTATAGCCATACTGAAAATAACAACAGATCGTTTACCTCAGATCCTGAAAATAAATTAAAACAAACATATGTGACCCTGGAGCACAAAACCAGTCATAAGGGTCAATTTTTTAAAATTGAGATTTATGCATCATCTGAAAGCGGAATAAATAATCTTTCCATTGATGTATGGTTTGTTAGGATAGCACAATATTTGAAAATCTGGAATCTGAGGGTGCAAAAAAATCTAAATATTGAGAAAATCATCTTTAAAGTTGTTCAAATGAAGTTCTTAGCAATTTTATTAGCATTTGAAAATACAACTTCCAACAGATCTACATTACTTTTTAATTCATTTTTATAAAATAAATCTCTGCTTTCAAACACTAGAAAATGGAAATGACTTTTACACACCGTTCTTCTTCACTATTTTTGGCATTTTTCCAGAGCAAATGTCTGAAGGATTCTTAAATCAAGATACGTTTACTTGAGAAGCGAATGTTTTATAAAAATCTGATATTGTTGTAGCTCCTTTAACTTTACTGATTTAATATGTTTATTTTTACTGTAAAAATGACTAAAATGAGACTAATGAGAATCATAATTGAGCATAAATATTGTTCATTAATTAATATTAATATTGAACATAAGTAAAATGCCCTGATTTATTACAATAATGTATATTTATTTGTATTTATTGATTGTTTAAAAAATAATCTTTACAGGAATTTGAATGTTTAAATCTCATTAAAATGTCACAATACAAAAACAAGTCATAAAACAAGCTTTATTTACTAAAATTGACTTTGCCGTTGCTCTAAAAAAATGATCTTATGATTAAAACAAGTACAAAAACCTGCTAATAGGCTAAAAAAAAATTAACTTCATTCAAAAGTAAAACACATTTTCCACACAGTACTGACATAAACTCAATTTTAATTTCTCAGACTTCATATGTCTTCATTTCGCATCTCCAGTAAATGTGTCTTGAGTTAAAGATGTTTAGATATCTGGACTGGAAAACAAGACAGAAATACTGATTTAGTTGTTTTTCCAGAGCATGCAACAGTTATTTAAGACTTTCTGCTCTGAATTAATACGTTTTAAGGCTTTAATACGTGGAAGGGTGAATTAAGACTTTTTAAGACCCGCAGAAACCCTGAAATCTAAACATGACTGATCTAGACTGAGCTGTGTTTGCATGAACCGGAGGCGTTTACGCAGCGTTCTCCGGGCAGGAGTGAGGGAAGACGTGTGGGTGAGCGAAGGCCGCGCTGAAGTCCAGCTCATCGGTGACGTGGCCCTTAAAGACGCGCAGGTTCCTCATGCAGCCGCGGAACGGCTCTCTGGAGCTCAGACAGTTCTGCTTCACGTCCGCTGCGAGAGAAACACAGAAACACTGAGAGTTACTTTTAAAAGTGATGCGTTACAATGTTGCGTTGCTCCCTAAAAAAGTAACTAATTATGTTACTTAGTTACTTTTTATGGACTAATGTGTAATGAGTAGTGTTTTTGAGTAAACACATGTTGATATTGAGTCTAGAGCTACAGTAAGATCATGTTCACACACAACGCTCTGCACTGACTCCTGATTGCTGTCACCGTGGCAACACCAGAGCTGTCACTCAACACACAGAAACAAAGTAACTCAGACTTCCTTCTAAATGAACAAGTAATGCGTTACTTTCCTAGTTACTTTAAAAAAGTAATCTGATTATGTAACTCGTGTTAACACTGTCCACCATAACACCGTGTCCTAACTACACACGACGCACAAAATTTCTATTTTAGAAACGGTTTCTATTTCTGCGACGTCGCGGCTGGAGCAACAACATACAACAGCTCAGGTACTGATTATGTGCTTTATTCGAAGTTAAACGTGTCTAATGTGAGTTTGAATATCATATTGACATTTATAGCCATACTGAAAATAACAACAGATCGTTTACCTCAGATCCTGAAAATAAATTAAAACAAACATATGTGACCCTGGAGCACAAAACCAGTCATAAGGGTCAATTTTTTAAAATTGAGATCTCAAGCTGTGCTTCTGCTTCTTGGCCATCAGGGTGCGCCAGCGGCCGTCACACATGGACACAGCGCTCCTGCTGCGCGCAGTGATCCGGCCCGCGCCGTTATTCACGTTAAACACCACCTGTGACGAGACGAGCGCGCTATTAACCTGGAAATCACACGAGGAGCTCCAGGAAATAACAGCCAATGATCAAAACAAAGAGGGGAGGTAAATGTGTGATTGGACCAGAGAGATTATCGTTAACTAAACTAAAACCATAAAAAAAAAAAAAAATCATAACTTAAAAAAATTAAAGAAACAAAGATATTAAAAACGGGAAATTTTATTTCAGCTATTTTTCGTGTTTTTTTTGTTTAAGTTGACATACTAAAATAACAAACAAATTAATAAAAAAAATAAAAATAATATATAGAAAAATTGCATCAAAGAACAAACTAAAACTAGTAAATAAAAATGAATAAATACTATATAGACAAACAGCATAAAAACAAAATGCATATAATAAACTGAATTTTTTTTTTATAAATACTATATAGAAAAAATTTTATAAAATAAAAAAAATAAAAATAATAAATTAAATACTAATACTATATAAACTAAATTGCACAAAACTCAAATGCATAAAACAAAACTAAAAAACTAATAAATAAAATTTAATAAATATATAGATAAATGTAAAAAAGACAATTACTAAATCTTTAAAATTAAAATTAAAACAGAATGTATACACACACAGACACAGACACACTCTCTCTCACACACAGACACACACACACACACAGAGACACAGACACACACACACACACACACTCTCTCTCACACACACTCACACACACACACACACACAGACACACCCCCACACACACACAGACAGACAGACAGACAGAGACACACACACACACACACAGACAGACAGACAGACACACACACACACACAGACAGACAGACACACACACA